GGAGCCTGCTTCAGATTCTGTGTCTCCTTCTCTCTCTGCCTCTTACCTACTTGCACTCTGTCTATCTGTCTCTGTCACTCTCAAAATAAACATTAAAAAATTAAATTAAAAATAAATAAAATAGATATAGCTTAAAAGTAATGTGTGTTATACAATAGAATACTACTCAGCCATAAAAAGAATGAAATCTTGTCATTTGCAAGGACATGGAGGGAGCTAGGGAGTATCATGCTAAGAGAAATAAGTCAGTCAGAGAAAGTCACATGATTTCACTCATATGTGGAATTTAAGAAACAAAACAAACGAGCAAAGGAGGAGAAAGAAGAAAGCAAACCAAGAAACAGACTTAACTATAGAGAACAAACTGATGGTTATCAGAGCAGTAGTGGTGGGGGCATGGGTGAAACAGGTGATGGGGATGAAGGAGTGCACTTGTGATGAGCACCAGGTATTGTACGGAAGTGTTGAATCACTAAATTCTGCACCTGAAACTAATATTTACACTGTAGGTTAACTCACTGGGATTTAAATAAAAACTTAACAAAATAAACTGTTTTTCTACTTAATACTCCTTCAGACCAAGTCTGAGGGCAAAGCCAAGTCATTTTTCCAATGTGAAACAGCTCAGAAATTCTGTTTACAAACATGGACACACTGTGTAAGAGGAGTCAATCAAGGTGGATTCCAGCACAATGCAAAATGAACTGAAGAAAGAAGATAGAATGGTGTTCAGAGGACATTGGCAGCTGAGTGAGACCCCGAGGGTGGAGGAGGAGACCATTCAGAAAGTAACAGTGATGAAAAATTCGCTTTCAAAGTTTTAATCACAGAGGACTTCTATATCATTTATCATGCTGTCAAATAGACCACTGGTTCTTTGGAGCATAGTATGAACACAATCATAATGTTGTAAATGCCGATTGTTGGTTTTTAGTGTTCAAAACAACCTACAGAAAATTACGAGACTTAGTTGTTTTACAGAATAATATGAAAGTATTATGAATCTCAATATTATAAAAAGCATTTCATTAACCAGAACAATTAGAAGTGCGTGAGAGGATGGATAGAAAGAAGTACGCTAATTTCCTCATCTGTCACATGCACGAGTCTAGAATTGATAAACCATCTCAGAGGTTTTAGTGAATAATTTAGAAGGACTAACTTTATATAAAGAACTAAAAATAGAAACGGTCATTAATGATTCTTGCTCTCAAGCAAAACTGGTCTGTGTGATGGGTGAGAAACTTTTTTACTCATTTAATACAAGTTTCTATTTTTTTCTTTAACCATACGCATGTGTTCCATTCTTTGACTTTTATAATTTTTCATTTGTTATTATACACACACACACACACACACACACTACCTCATGTTCATGAATATATTCATTTTTATTCCTTTTACTTAAAATACATACACTATGTGTTTTGTTTTGTTTTTTTCCTTAATCCTGAGAGCTACTATCTTTTTTTTGGTTCTGGACAATTCTCTGCCATTATGTCTTTCTATTTTGTTTCTCCCTGGCCTTACATGTTTCTCATATTAGGAGGGCTATTAGATTATGTTAAATTTCGGGGCACCTGGGTGGCTCAGTTGGTTGAGCGTCTGACTTCGGCTCAGGTCCTGATCTCACGGTCCGTGAGTTTGAGCCCCGCGTCGGGCTCTGTGCTGACAGCTCAGAACCTGGAGCCTGCTTCTGATTCTGTGTCTCCCTCTCTCTCTGACCCTCTCCCCGTTCATGTTCTGTCTCTCTCTGTCTCAAAAATAAATAAACGTTGAAAAAAAATTTAAAAAAAAGAATATGTTAAATTTCTTATTCTTGCTTCCCCCCACCATGTCCCTTAACTTTGTATTTGTCTTTCTTTACCTATTTGTGATATAATTTGAGTGATTTCCATGGACCTATCTTCCAGTTTCATGACTCTCCCTTCAGCTGAGTTCTCTTTATTTCAATGATTTTTTTTTTTTTTTTTTTAGAATTCCTTTTCGGCTCTTTTTCAAATAAGCCTGATCTTTTACAATGTTCTTATTTTATGAATTTTGTTTCTTATTTTGAATCTTCCTATTACTTTTTATTATGTTGTAAAGTCTCTTTTAAGTTGCTTTGCCATCTCAGGGGCGCCTGGGTGGCTCAGTCAGTTAAGCATCCGACTTTCGGCTCAGGTCCTGATCTCACGGTCTGTGAGTTTGAGCCCCACATTGGGTTCTGTGCTGACAGCTCAGAGCCTGGAGCCTGCTTCAGATTCTGTGTCTCCTTCTCTCTCTGTCCCTTCCCTGCTCGTGCTCTGTCTCTCTTTCTGTCTCAAAAATAAACATGAAAAACAATTTTTTTAATTAAAAAAGAAATAAGTAAATTGCTTTGCCATCTCTAGTTACTTAAGTATGAATCTTATATCTTATGCTTACTGATGTTCTTCCTGAGTTTTCATGTGGCTTTTGTAATTTAGGGTTGTGAACTCGTCAAGTGTTCCTTCCACAGATGTGCTACTAGCGCACTGGATTGCAGAGGCATTTCCATGTGGTTGTTTTATATCTGTCAGGGGACTTGTGGATTTCATGAGTTCGAGCAATTTTTATGTTAGTTTCTGTGCTCGGGATTTTCTTACCAAACAGGTAGTGCACATTTGAGAACACCTTCCAAGAGTGATAGTATTTCTCCCACTATAACAGTTAAAGAATGGACTGATTCTAATAGTAAAAACTTAAGAAATTGTGTCAACAACATATGATGGATTCACAGTTTTTTGTTTTTTTTTAAACACAATGCCAGTCCACCCCTTTTTATGTTACTATGAAAATGAGGTTAAAAAAAAAGAAAAGAAAAGAAAAGTGCTGGGATTCAAAGCATTAAAGGCAGAGTAGAACCTAAAAGCTGAGTCTCTTTGTTGTTAAAATGCATTTTAATTTTTATATGGATATTGACTGATGCTTACTCAAAGATCTTGGCTTCATGATCCAAGTGCCTGGAAAGCAGCTCCCTTAGCATGATCCTCCTATCCTGTGTTGCCTGTTATCAAGCATTTTGGTGATGTTAATTCTTTCATGCCCAATTAGCAAATTCAAGCAGACCATTAGATTCTGCTTTGTTAGGTCTTTGTCAACAATTCACTTTTCCTTTCTTTTAAACCATGCAATTTGCTTACAAATAGAAAAGCTTCTTCAAGATCACAGCCAGGTGTTATTTTTTTTCTTCCCACAGTGAATAGTAAAACACTTGCCATGTTGATATACATAGGCACTCTATAAATATCTGCTGATTGAGCAATTTATTAATGATTTTCCTTCGTTTCTTTGATTTTCCTTTTTTTGTATTGGGTAAAGGAAACTTGCCAGACATATTTATATGACAGTTTCAGGAGTTTACTTTCTTTCCATGTTTTTATAGAGACAATACACAAAGTAGGTGATTCTATATTCATTTATCTAGTCAAAGAAAATTACAATGGTTTATTTTGTGTTCCGCTCACAGAACAGAGTGTTCTGAACATCAGCCCAAAGAGGAAGAACCTTAAGCTGAAGGTACAGCCTACTGTTTACACTGAAGGAGCTTGTGTGTGGACAAGAAGCGCTGACAGCTGAAATGGATCCCATGGAACTGAGAAATGTCAACATCGAACCTGATGATGAGAGCATCAGTGGAGAAAGTGTTCAAGATGGCTACACTGGGATGGGAAATTCAGAAAAGGCAGCAATGAGCAGGTATGGGGTTAAAGATGACCAGGTTCCATGGAAAAATGAGAGGTTTGTGGATGTGAGAAACAATGTTTTTCAATTCATTACCTATTTGAGAGATAACAATGACATCGATGTTAACACATCAACTTTCTGATCCTAAAGTATTCATTATTACATCATTATTCTGTGTCTCTGATTTAGACTGTGTGTGACTAATTCAGAATTGAAGTTATAGCATTCTTGTGTCATTAATATAGGATACTTCCAGTTATATTAGCCTACCATTTCTTTTACCTCTTGGACTATTTTCTCTGATACCTCTTCCTTTGACTGCCCCTTAAATGCTGCTGCATCTCCAGAATTTTGTAGGGATTCTTTGGTCACTAAAAGTGTCCTGTGGGCAAGCTCATTCACAACTATCACGGTCTCACCCACTGAACGCATGCCACGTCTTGGGCCTGTTAGACATCTCCACTTCCTTTCAGATCGTTATACCCAACTGTGTGCTACACATCTGTACGGGGTGTCTCACATGTCAGAATTGATACCATTCATCCTTCAAGACACAGCTCAAAGTCAGAACTCTTATGAAGTCCGGAGGTGGAAGTGACCACCTGCTCCTTTGTGTGCCCTCTCTCGTCATTATACTGCTACAACAGGCTAATGGCTTCTGTGGCCCCAGCACAAATCACACGGCCTGGAATGTGATAGGTGCACAATAGCCATTTGATAAAGTAAACTAACTCCTCACCATATGGTATATAACATGAATGATGCACGACTTAAGACACTTAGAAGGAAATTTTTGACCAAATCTCGGCCTGAGGTAGAGAATATCCTTAGACAAGGACAGCTCATTTCATTTCACAACATCCAGGAAAGCCACAGGAGGAAGCACTGTTCTTCCTCCATGGAGCCAGTGGAGTAAACTTTCGTGCTGTTGGACCAGAGAGGCCACAGACATGCAAATCGTGGTGTTTTCTAGGTTGAGCAACCCTTGAGAACGCATGATGTGGCAGAACACAGGGCTCTGGAATCTGTAGAGTGGATATCTGAGTTTGGAGACGATGTGTATCTTCCGGAAGCCTCAGTGAAAAATGCAGAATGACAAACCAGCACCTACCATTCTCGGGGTGAAGTGAATACCTGAAAGATCGCTGATACTCAGTAAACCTTGTTTCTTTGTCCTCCACTTTGTCACCCTTAGTAAACTGATCAACTCTGATGGCTCTTGTTTCTGAGAAAGATGAGCATAGATGTGATCTCTGCAGAGGTGGCCGAGCTGAAGGGGATGCCCTCCCGAGAACAGTCCTACAGGGTCATTCGATTTGGGCTCTGAAAGCCATAATGGAAAGAGCAGGAATGCTTTTGTTAAAACTGTATAGAGTGTTCTGGGCCACTTACAGTGCCTTAGCTTTTAACTCCTGACTCAAACATCATTTTGCAATTTTACAATCACTCTTAAAAGATGGGTTTTGCTTACATTTGGTTTGGATTGTTCCCCTAAATATGTTTAATTTCCCAATTCATTTATTTGAAATCATTATACTTATGTTTTCAATACAGGCTGGGTTCAGTATCAAAACATTTAAGACGTTCAAAACATTTCTCATATATTTTATCCAATATTGTCATGTGTTATTATAATTCATCACATGCCAAAATAAAAACTTACAAACGACTCAAGAAAGAAACTCTTACTTACTTTTACATTTTACATTTTACAAACTACTCCTGGACTAAAGGATTCTAATGTATTGATTAAGGTAAAAAAAAAAAAAAAAAAAAGAATGTTGGCATTCCAGAGTTTAAATCTAGATGACACTTTTGCTTTATAATCCTTAGGCCTGCTTTAGGCTCCATTTCATCTTATTGTCTGTTTCCAACTATGAGCATTATGTACCAGTCTCCACGCAGCAAGTATATTAACTACCGACGATTAAAATAAAGCACCAAAAGGGAGCAGGGGGTTGCGGGGGTTAGTGCGGGGATGAAAGAAAGCAGCATCTGAGGGCACAACGCTCCCTATAAGAAATAGGAGGATGCCAGGAAATGTTCCTAACTTATGCACAGGAAGCATCTGGAAAAGCACATAAAGCTTAGTAATTTTGTCAGCTGGTCCTGCATACACTTTACGTTGTTCCACATTCTCAAAAAGGAACCTGGTTGTCCCTCTTGCTCGCAAGATATTTTCAGGATTAGCTTCTATTACAGAGGATAACTTGTACAGATCGCCTATAATTATTAGTCAAGCCTTTTGGAAACGTGGTGGTAGTAGATCTATATCCTCAAAACCCCTGGCAGACAACTGGGGGACCTGTACAGGAAGGCAATGTGCAGTTGCCAGCCTCTGCCCAAGTAGCCCACAATCACCACGGTGTTCACAGATCGTGACATTTTAAGGTCCTGCTTCCTTCCCGGCTCTTCCAATTTCATGGGTGTCTTTAATGCTTTTCTTCCTTTCTCATCGTCTAATAAGCCAAATGTATTTCCAGAGCAGTTAAAATCCTCACACTCAGACACAAAAACCAAACACGACACAGAGCTACCACTGAACTACATTCCAGCACGGGATAGCTGAATATACAGGTGGAGCAAAAAAAAAAAAAAAAAAAAAAAAAGGAAAAAATACCAGCTACAGGGCCCTGCCTGGGGCTGCAGGGCACCATGGAAGATCCTAGACTTGGAGCCTAGTGGGTGTAGGCATGGTACTTCCCTTTTCTGAGCCATGGTCACCTCATCCTCAGAGTAGGGGCGTGAAAGTTCCTCTCACAGGGATATTCGAGCATCGACTGAGTTGAAGATCACAGGCCTAGGCCCTTAGCAAATATCTACTGAATTGAGAGAATCATCTGATTATGGTGGGGCAGGAGTTGAGAAAACTCAGTCACTGCTCCGGTACCCTCTCTTTGTGAGGGCCCTAAATGGAAACCGCATTAACTGTCATTCTCTTTCTTGCGGAGTTAACGTGGGAAGAAGAAATGTGGCTTAAAAAAAGATGCCAACTGAAAAAATTTTCTCCTTTCCTAACTTCGTCTCTCCTTCCCAAATTACATTCATAAGTGGAGGGCAGTTGTTGGTCCGGGAGGACCACTGATATGAAGAGAAGGGGGGAAGGAAGAGAAGGAAGAGAAGGGGGGAAAAGGTTTCAGCGCCTTGTTTTTCCTCCCTGATCCAGTTACTTAGGTCACCCGAAACAAATACAATTCAGAGCATTTACTTAGATGTTTTTACTTTATTTCTTTTTTTTATGTGCATTCAGTCAATTTACTAACGAAGATGCTGAAAGTCAGAAATTCCTGACAAATGGATTTTTGGGGGAAAAGAAGCTGGCAGATTACGATGATGAACATGTAAGTGAATCTCTGCTTTCAGGCAGTAAACAGGACTTGAGGGTGTCTGATCTACCTAGGTCTCTGTGGGAAAACAATGTGACTGAAATTTTCCAAGCCTTGATCAGCACATTCTCTGTTTATTCAGGCCCTTACTGGAATAAGGACTTGTTTTTCCTGTTCGCCATATGGCTACATAAATCATTTATGAAATTCATTTGTTTTTTGGAGAAATCATTCTAACCCAAATGTAGTCTGCAATCATACATGCTTTCCTTTCTTTATGTTACTCAGCCTGTATTTTTTATTTTTACTGAGATCCTTGCTAAAACCAAGCATTCCATTCCATTGAAAATTACATGCTTTTACTGAAGTAACAGCTTTTGTTCACTGTGATTTTATCTTAGTCTTCAATTTTGAACCATAATCTCCTCCAGCAAAGATAATGTGAGAATAAGAATAATTTGAAAAAGGTCACCCTTTTGGCAAATATTTGCTTCAAACGTGCCCCTTTTTCTTTAAGCATCCTGGAACCACCTCCTTTGGAATGTCTTCATTCAACCTGAGTAATGCTATCATGGGAAGTGGGATCTTGGGCCTTTCCTATGCCATGGCCAACACGGGGATCATACTTTTTATGTAAGTATTTGGTTCAAAGCCCATGCACACCTGGTGTTCTTTCAGTTAACAACCTCAAGTCTGATCTTTGTGAACAATAATGCTCTGAGAAAGTATTAGCATATTCTTGGGCTTATAGACAGAACAGCAACCTGAGGAATGATCAGAGCATACTAATCCTGGTGCTTGTTCAACCAACTGCCCCTAACCAAATGGCAGAAAGTATATGTGCTCAACCACCCAGAGTGCTGGAACAGCCCTACCAGTCCATAGAAAGCAATTCACAAAGTGATTCACCGTAAAAAGATCTTTCCCAGAAGCAGATCTGGCTTTATCACACTCTTAGGAAAGATCCCATTCCAATCCAGGCCTACAGATCCCTGCATGCTCCGATCTCTTCTTGTGCCCATCCCCTACGCCCCCTAAATGCCTGATACGATGGGCACACTGGCCTTCTCTCCATCCCAGAAGTTGCCATATTCCTTCTCACCACAGGGCCTTTGCACATGGTCCTAGTATCCTTTTCCCTTTCTTCCTCATCTAGTTAACTCCTCATAGCACATCTCCCCCTCCCCCTCATCGATACCTTCCCTGACTTCCATGACTGGGACAAACACTCCCCACAGTTTTAATATTTTAGTGCAGTTGTCTGATATATTTGGTTAGTGTCTATCTTCTTCCTTGCTAGACTATAATCTCCAGAGGATCGAGCCATTGTCTGTTTTCACCCACCAGATGTCTGTATCCCCAAGACCTAGCATAGTGCTTGGCATAGAAATATTTGCAGAGTAGCCAAAATGTATTCCTAGACCTATGTACTTGGTCAAATGCTGCCTAAGGACAGCAGCGCCACATAGCTGACCTGGAGGATGGATATCACATCATCTATGACAGACGGCCACAGGTGTTTGTGTACCTTACGTACAGCCTGGTATTTTCCAAGACACAGTTGGCAGTAGTGAAATTCTTCACAGGAATAAAGTCTAATATTAGTCAGGCATCTGTGTGAATGCAGATTGCCACCCCTAATGCAATGCCAGGGTGTTAAATAACTGTCTAAGAATGCAATGCTTATATTATATATAAATATATGCTATTTATGTTTTGAACATCATTTGTGATTATCTAATCACACAGCTATTTGAGGGCTAAGGATCAGGCAGGACTATAAATATTTATATTGTGTTAGTGCTTTGGCCTGTTTTAGGTAAAACATTTTTTAGCTGAATGGATTTTTATGTCAACCACTCTTTATGTCATGTTTGAAATAAAGGGGTTTTTTTTAATTCTCTGAATCTTAATGGCTTAGAGATGTGTTCGTATACATAGTCGTATACTTCTGTAATGTACGCTATCTCTAAGACTGCCTTCTCCTTAGTAATTACACATGCCATTACAATCAGAAGTTATCATCGCTTACTGATGAACAGAAATAAGAAACTCTTCCCCCGATCCTAGGGCCACAAGATTATTTTCAAGGAAGAAGAATATTCCACTTTTAAAACCGACAGCCTCGGGGCGCCTGGGTGGCGCAGTCGGTTAAGCGTCCGACTTCAGCTCAGGTCACGATCTCGCGGTCCAGGAGTTCGAGCCCCGCGTCGGGCTCTGGGCTGATGGCTCAGAGCCTGGAGCCTGCTTCCGATTCTGTGTCTCCCTCTCTCTCTGCCCCTCCCCTGTTCATGCTCTGTCTCTCTCTGTCTCAAAAACGTTAAAAAAAATTAAAAAAATAAAATAAAATAAAATAAAACCGACAGCCTCATTTCAGGCCTAAACAACATTTAACAGATTAAGATGTCCAGAGCAATTAAACTGTTATACATGATGGGGTATGTTCTGTGTATCCAAGTGGCACAGACTGAATGCAGCCGTCTCCCTTAATTCTCAACAAGTGACACAGGATTTCATTGGTTTTACTTTTAGTATTTTTGGCCAAAGCAAGTATATGTCTAGAATACAGGGAATGCTCATTATTTTTCCAGGAAACAAAATTATGCCATCTGAATCGCATCTTTAAAAACAGGGAAGTTCACAGGGCATATGGAAAATTTTACGAATAAGTCATTGATTACAGTTCCGGTAAACAGACTTTGTGGAAAGCAAGAGCACAATATAGCTAGTTAGAAACACTTGAAACTCGTGGCCCAAATGTACATTTGCAAAGTTGACTTCATCAGGAATTACCAAAGAATTAGATCAATTGTGGCAAAATGTTTATTGTTGTGTAAAATAAAGAATAAGGGTTTTTTGTTGTTGTTGTTGTTTTGTTCTTTAGGTTTTAGGTAAAGGTTAGTATTGTTCCTTTATTTATTATATAGGTGCTTCTATCCATGCTCTTATTTCTGCTTTCCAAATCTTGTTTTTGGAGAAACACTGATCACTGTATAAGAATCCCTATGTGCCTGTGGACACGTGGAGGAGGCTGAACCAGAAAGAATTCTTTCTGAACACATATAAAGGCATTTTCCTGCACCCTATACTTCCTTCCCTTTTTTTCTATTTTACAGGCAATTGCCTGAGCTGTGGCTCACAAGTATCTTGCCATCTAACATGCAGGATCAGTAGTGGAGTTTAGACTCTGCATGCTTTGGTGTCTGTATTTCTAGATTTTACATTAAAATTTAGCCAGGCCGTCAAATAGCCCTTAAATTATAAATGTGGCTGAGACTATCACACACACCTGATGTACATATACCCATATGCTGAGTAAGTAGGCATAGTGTTTGCTAATTTTGCTGTACATTCAGCATCTAAGTTATAAACCAGATTCCACTAGGGGAAAGGTTAGGAACTTCTGGTGGTACATTTTAGCACATAAAATATAGCAAATTCCCGTTGTGTGACAGGAAAGGGTATGTGTAGAGTTCTGAAAAGAATTTCTCAGCTTCCCCCTAATCCACATACTTTTGGAAGGTTAATGACTGAAAGGGCCCATGTGATAATTTATTATAATATCTAACATGAGTTGTGTCTTCTTGATTATAGACATTTACATTTATTTTCTACTCTCTATTCCCTTCCTAGAATCATGCTGCTTGCGGTAGCAATATTATCCCTGTACTCAGTTCACCTTTTATTAAAGACCGCCAAGGAAGGAGGTATGCTACCCCTTAAGTCCAAGACGTCCTATTTTGATTCTTGTTAAAGGTATTTCAGTCGATAGCTCTAGAACTGGAGGATGATTTTAGTTAATTTCACATTGCATTTTCTCTGACCCCAATGACACGGCCTCTCAATGTTTTTAGTAATTTGGGCAGCTCAGGGAAGTGAAAGGCAACTGGCTCAGGTTTAAGCCAAATAGAAAAAAGGAGCCTTGATGGATGACAGAAATAACAGTTCTGACGTGCTGCACAGAGCTAAGATGAATGAAGCCATTGCTTCTTGTCTGGAGAACATGTAACATATTTGGTATTGGCTTTTGAGATTGCATCTTTTGGGTTTATAATTTCTGTGTGGTGTTTATGTACACATTTGAGACTCCAGTGTGCAATTATAGAAATATTTTAGTCATTAAAACAATCCTTTTAGGGGCGCCTGGGTGGCTCAGTCGGTTAAGCGTCTGACTCTTGATTTCAGCTCAGGTCATGATCTCACGATTCATGAGATCGAGCCCTGTGCATGGAACCTGCTTAATATTCTCTCTCTCTCCTTCTGCCCCTCTTCCTCTCTCTCTCAAACAAACAAACAATCCTTTTAAAAAGTGTTTTATTTTTTATTATAGGGTCTTTAATATATGAAAAACTAGGGGAAAAGGCATTTGGATGGCCTGGGAAAATCGGAGCTTTTGTTTCCATTACAATGCAGAACATTGGAGGTAAGGGCATATAGCTTTCCCTACCACTTACACTTTCGAGAGAATGTTCAATAAATAAGAAAACTCTTACAGCAATGAACAAGCACCTTAAATACAGAAAAACAGCTGCTTTACATTCAGAAATTTAAAAGACAAGAAGATTGTTAAGTAGATTTACTGTTCCTTAATCAAAAATAACAATATCTAAGAAAATATTATATAAGATCCCACCAAATGTATTCTAGAAGTATAGAACAAAACCTCTTGATATCAAATGCTATCATGGCCTTAATTTTACTTAAGAAAAATTAAAGCATTAGTGCTTATTTCATTGTTGGAACAGTTGAGGTTTCCTACGTATGATGGGGTTTATTTCGTCAAACTGAAAATTAAGTATCTGAGGGGTATATCCAAGTATGGGGTATCCTTCAGATAACCTGTACAGAACCAGCCCATTGGAGTGTGTCCCAAGAAATTGTGCCAAAGCAGAAATTCGGCTAGACATCAGAAGCATTATGATAAAACCACAAATCCTTGGTTCTACAGATTCTTATAATTCCTACTAAATTATAATTTCCAGAGCCTAGAAATATGCATTTGTAATAGTGTTCCAGGTGATATGTTTGCCCACCAGCTTCACTGGTCCCGTGGAGTCTTTGACCCCCAGAAGGCATCCAGACCCATTTTCCTATGTCCTACTGTCTATGTCCTCTTGCTTGGCCTGGAAGCTATCATCACACAGCAGCACTTCTTTCCTCACCTCTCCTGTCCCCAAACCTGCCATTCTATTCTTTTCTTTCTTCTCTCAATGAATACCAGCAACATCCAGTTTCTTAAGCCAGGAATCTTACATATCATCCTAAACTTCTCCCTGTCTCCCTAACCCTGAATGTCCAAATACCACCTCCTGTCCAGTCCATTATCTTACCTGCCTTGTGAAGCTCTCCTCTCTTTCTAGTCTCTCCCCCATAGTTCAGGTGATCGTTGTTTCTGCTCAGACTCTTGAATTAGCCTTCTAACTGGGCTTCCTGCCTTGAGTTTCTCCTGCTCTGATCTCCAGATCAGATTCAAATCTAGTGTTGCTTCTCACACACATAAAATTCTTTAGCATGCCCTCATTATTTTCAGGGTAGAGTTTAAACTCCTTGGTCTGACATAGAAGGGTCTTCATCTGCCTATTTTTCTGATACCTTTCCTATCACCCCCATATCTACCTAGCTACCTAGCTTCTATATGTCCTGTCATACCATAACAAACCATATTCAGTTCCCCTTTCGTAGGCCTGCCACCCTAACACACACACACACACACACACACACACACACACACACACACACACTCGTTCTGTTTGCTCCCATGACTTCTCCAGATTATTAGGTACTAGTTCCCCTGGGCTCCCTTGCGCCCCCATTTATATATATCTGATATGTTACTGTATTTAAAAAATATTTTAAAACCATTGAGTAGAGAATAGACTTTTAGAGTCTGATGCACCCAAATGTGAGTCTGTTTCTGCCACTGTGACTTTACTCCAGTGAGTCTAATTTGTCCATCTATGAGAATGGGAGTATTATTCCATCTCACAAGGTCATTTTGAGGATGAAATCAGACAACATATGGCACATAATGAGGGTTCAGTACATCCTTTCCTCCCCAGTTCTCAGATTCAATGTCACTGGAGCCCTCCTGATTTTTTTTTAAATGGGCATAATTATAAGACAAATACATACTAACTGTGAAAAACTGGAACATGACATAAATACATAAATTATAAAGAGATGTTTATATAAGTCACCCTTAGAAATAACTACTTCAGTAATTTCTCTATGCAAAATTTAATAAGTATATTGTTACTGTTAAAATGGATCATCTTATAACACGGATTTGCAGCTTCCTTTTTTCTTTACCTGACAATATGCCTTGAATGTATTTGCATATTCTTTTTAATGGCTCTGAATTTTCCATTGTACAAATGTACCATAATTGGTTTACTGAATCCCTTATTGACATTGTAATAGTGAAAAACTGGAAACCATACAAACAATTGCTACAATAAATAAATGTGCACGGCAATCTTGCAAGGAGGTAACCCTTCTTAATAAAATCACTGGAGGGGCGCCTGGGTCACTTAGTTGGTTAAGCCTGAGTTCAAGCTCCTTATCGGGCTCTGTGCTGACACCTTGGAGCCTGGAGCCTGCTTCAGATTCTGTGTCTCCCTATCTGTCCCTCCCCTGCTTGCACTCTGTCTCTCTCTCAAAAATAAACATTAAAATGTTTTTTTTCATTAAAAGAAAAATAATAAAGTCACTGGAGTTATCTAGGATTTCCCAAATTCAGCAATTCCTTTAGTAACCTTTATCCAATTCTAACTGCTCCTGCTAAAGGACAGTCGGTAAGCAGATGAATAAAATCCAGGCATACCTTCGTGATTTGTATTTATTTCTTTTCATATTTGTATATATTAAGATCACAGCTCCGGGTAGAATTTGGCAGGAATTCCAGGATTGTTTCATTCATTTTACTGGGTTTGGGCCACAAGCATAGAAGCTCCCCATCCCCACCAAATAGACCGCTTTACATTTGGTTCAAATTTTTAGCCTTTTCAAGACTTAAAACATCAAGCATTTCATAGTATCACCTCATAGCTGATCTAATTTATTTGTTTGAATAACTGAAATACCCTGACACATATCTGGCCCTAAACCCCAAGGGCTGGGGGACAACCACAACATCTGTGGCTCAAAGTGTAGCTACTAAGTAATGTAATAAACTATAAAATGGTCTCTCAAGATGCACACACATGAAGGAAGCATGGCTTTAAGGCGCTAACACAAAATTTCATATACCATTCCTGAAAATGCTCTCACTTTGGTTACTCTGTGTGATTAGTAGTTATTTTAGCCTAAGGGAAATCACTTGTATTTCTGTATTTAGCAATTCCACATTTAGAACATTTAACTTTCTCAATCCCCTGAAAAATTAACATTTACCACAGATGTTTCAACATTAGCAGAATAATGTTGACATTACCCAGACAGGTCTGGATCATTCTAAATTTTCGAAGACCAAACACATTAACAGTGGTGACATCACTGAAAGTCAGCAATTAATAGCTCTAAAATTGAATGGTACCTCACTGAGCCAGTTAATCAGAAATATCTCCTCTGTTTACGCACCATAAGATTTAGCTTTAGCCAAGGTCTTTGTAAAGATTAACCAAATAATATTTACAGAAGACACATCAGGTATTGTAAAAATCATTTCACTTCACAATAGAGGAGAAACACTGGCCTGGGGATCGGGGATCTTCTATTTTGGATGTGGTCTGTCGTTTTCAATCTGTGTGATCTTGGGTATGTCATCTAAGCTTTCAAACCTTTATGGCCTCAGCTGTGGAATGAAGATAACATACATCTTGCTGATTTACAAGGCTTTTCAGCTGATCAAATGGAGTGAAGTGCAGTACTAAACAACACAGGGAGTTATTATCACCATTATTACTTGTTTGAGGTTAAGTATTTTGAAACTACTAATAGCACAATTTGCAACCTAGAAATCTGCTTTACGTGTCTGTGAGCAAAACTTCACCAGAAGGATGGAGCACACACACTTTTTTTTTTTTTAACAATGCAAAACCCATCAGTTTTATTTTTAAGTTAATAAAATGTACTTTTATTTTTAAATGCTTTCAATGTTTATTTACTTTTGAAAGCGAGACAGAGTGTGAGCAGGGGAGGGGCAGAGATAGAGGCAGACACAGAATCTGAAGCAGGCTCCAGGCTCTGAGCTGTCAGCACAGAGCTGGATGTGGGGCTCGAACCATGAACCATGAGATCATGACCTGAGCAGAAGCCAGATGCTTAACGGACTGAGCCACCCAGGTGCCCCAAAATGTATTTTATTTTTAATTTACTGGACCATGTGTCAAATTAGCATTCTACTTCACGGAGTGGATGGACTTAGAAAAGATGTTGCATAAATCCCTATAACTTTTGGCAAGATTATATGTTATGCATATGTATACATACATCTTTTTCCAGGGAGAGGGTTTATAGATTATATCAGATTTTCAGAACAGTACATGATCACACGTGGATCATTTGTCAAGATGCTCAAGAGCTTTTGCCACTTGGTATAATTTCTTATTTGGTCAAGAAGAGACTGGGATATAGAGAAGAGAAAATTCACTGACAAAAGTGGGAAAGCTATCATCACTTTCATTCTTTTATCAATCCAGTCAGCCTCCAGTTTAGACAATTAGTGGTCTGAGGCTTTGGGTGCCCATCAGGGAGGTTACAGAGGACTAGACTAGCGCCCACCCGGGGAAGCCAGAGTGACATATAATCTACACAGCACCGCCCTACAGTTCTGCCCTCTCTCCTCTGGCTGATGCCTGTTGTTGCCAGGCCCCTGCCCAAATGATGAACACAAAAACAGGCACACTTAGTACAGGCCATCATGACGTCTAACTGATGGAACAACTTTACTAAAAACCTCAGAGCTGGATTAAAAACAGAATCAGCATTGATACTGTCAGCAAAGGTCCATGTGCAAGAGCCAGAGGGCCAAATACCTATTTTTGAAAAGAACTCGGAAGCAGTACAAGATATACTGGGTGGCTTTTCTTTCTGTTCAGGGGATCAGATGCACATCTGACGGGAAGACTGAATGTCCCAAAGGCCAGGACTTCTCACAACTTGCCTGTGACTTTAGTGCTATGTGCACCACTAAGCTGTCACGTTTTCCATTTTAGCAATGTCAAGCTACCTCTTTATCATTAAATATGAGCTACCTGAAGTAATCAGAGCATTCATGGGACTTGAAGAAAATACTGGGTATGTCTTATGTTCTCTCTACAACATCCTTTGGCTGATTCTACTTGGTCTTTTCTGATCCTAATATTCTTGACGCTCTTTCCCTTGTAGAGAATGGTACCTCAATGGCAACTACCTCGTCATATTTGTGTCTGTTGGAATCATTCTTCCACTTTCTCTTCTTAAAAATTTAGGTAAAGTCACCTTTAGTTTTTATTTTCATTTCCTATTCCAATAGGTAAGTCAATTGTAGATACTGTATTCACCTTACAGAATTTCTCTGATAACTTTTAGGTTACCTTGGTTACACCAGTGGATTTTCTCTTACCTGCATGGTGTTTTTTGTCAGTGTGGTAAGTGATTTATTGACATGATCCTTGTAGGTTGGTGAGCATGAGGCACATAGTCCCTGAATTAGTGTCCTCATTTTTGTTCAAGCAATTCACTAGCATGAAATACTTCTTGCATCACAAGCCATTTTCTTATATTCTAATTTGGAATGAGAAAAGAACAGTCATGATTTTACAAATAGTTGAGTTAGAATGTCAAGGCCATTGCTAATAGTATGTTCTAAGCACACTGGATATATATTTGGACAAAAGGAACCCTTCAAGCAGTAACATGATAATGATCTAGTATTTAGAAAGGTGGAGGAAGACGTGAAGAGTCCCAGAAATCAATGAGCTATAGAATTATTCATGTCTACATCAGTCAGCCATTTTCTCCTACACATTCCACCCATGAAAAGAGGGTAATCCCAGTGGAATTAAAGAAGAGATCTTTCTCCCCATTGCCCCCACTCCCTGCCAAAAAGGGAAACTTTTGTAATATCCTGGATGCCAAAATGTATACAGCATTTCCCCAAAAAAGGCAAAAGAAGATGGGAAATTTTTTGATAATCCATATTAATTTGAAGAAATAAAAGATATGAAATGTAGCAAGGAAATGATCATCTTTATCACAGAAGAATATGGATGATTCTTAGAGGAGATTCGTGCAAAATACTGTTCTATTGATTCCCAGGGACAACCATCCTTCCAACTCTTTCCTTAGAGCAGAGGCTAGAGAGTCTCCATTGTCTATTAGCCTAAAGGGCATCTTCAGCAGAGGCCCCTCACCACTACCCCATAAGCTATATAAATGGATTTTTGTTTCACTGTTCTCGTCAAAAAGATGATTTTTTTTTTTTTAATGGCTGGGCCTAGGTGATTTACAAGAAATTCCAAATACCCTGCCCTCTGCCTGTTCTGGATCACAATGTTGGAAATCTGACATTCAACAATACACTTCCAGTGCACATGGTAATATTACCTAACAACTCTGAGATTAATGGCGTGAACTTCATGATGGATTACACCCACCAAAATCCTGCAGGGCTAGATGAGAACCAGGCCAAGGGCTCTCTTCATGGCAGTGGAGTAGAGTATGAAGCACACAGTGATGACAAGTGTCAACCCAAATACTTTGTGTTCAACTCCCGGGTAAGTGATGAGCCTACCAAAATGGCTGAGTCTTCATTTTATAAGCTGAGATGGCTTGGGATTGCCATCTGTGTTGAAAAGCTACACATGCGTTGTTGTCTTTGTTTTTCAGACGGCCTACGCAATTCCCATCCTAGCATTTGCTTTTGTGTGCCACCCTGAGGTCCTTCCCATATACAGTGAACTTAAAGAGTAAGGCAGCCATCATTTTAACATTCTAACTTGTTTTGAAAATGTGCTCATATGTTCAGAGGTGCTTTATACAAAAGCATGGTTAATGGCTTTCTCTTCAGAGAAGGTTTGTGGTACATACCACTCATCAGTAACGTATTTTAACCAAAAAGGTATGAATTAGCCCCCTCCCTACACTACCGTATCTGCTTCCTTCTCTCCCATTTCTTCATCCTAATGGTCCGCAAGACGAATTTAGGTCAGGGGGAGGAAGAGCCAATGGCTAGAAGAATTTTGGCAGGAATGAGAAATTTGAATTTGAAATTTGCTAGGAATGATGTCACCTCAGCTATAAATGACCGCACCCATGAAGACCAAAAATTATGGCTAAGGTGACCTTGCAAAGCCATTGATGTCACTTGTGCTCTGTCTTTAACCCTTGTCTAGAAGACATTCACCACAGGGATGTGCCAAAACCTGGCCTTCATTGTCTTATCTGTACAATGGAGACAATGGCTAGACAATCTTGTTTCTTCTAGCTGAAATTCTAGGATTCGTTTGTAGTCTTTTCCCTTTGAGGCTGTTGACATCTACTTAGGTATGTAGGGTGTCTGAGCCCTCTAGCACTGCTTTCCCCTTTACCTTTAGAGAAAGGTGGCCTATAGTAATTCTCACTTTATTTAATCCGGATATCAGTAACCTCACTCTTTATTCTCAGTACATAGCAATATTTGCTTCACAAATTCTGATTTAACTTATAAAAAATTTGGGGAACACTTTCAATTATTTTCACTTTACTTGGAAATCACATGCGGCATTTACTCTACACTTGACCTTAACCGAAGATCAAGAAGTGATAGCAGTTACTCCAGAAGCCTGGCAATTGACTTTAAGCAGCTGGGTGCCCTCCAGAATGGTTTCCAGGCACTTCTAGGCTCTCTTGTGGTCTGGACTCATGCAAGTTGTGCTTTGCTGATTCTAGTAGGTTTGTGTCCTCCCACATGAAATATGAATCCCATCTCACTATGAAGTATGAAAGCTTTCTACATTAGCAGACAGTTGGATCTTTGTGTTAATTACATTCTTGCGTACTCAGTAGACAAGTATATTTATCAACACAAAATAAACCAGTCTTCTTCTAGGAAAATAGTTGTCTCTAAGACTGACAAGAGTAGTAGTTAAGAAAAATGGAAACAAATCCCCCACAGCTCTCTAGGACAAGTTTAAAGAAGCTATGTTTCTGTATGAGATATGTGGTTTTATAATAGTACACAGGCATACATTCTTTCACTATTTTAGAAATTTTTTTACTAAAAAAATGATAATAAAAAAAAAAAAAAACACTGAGCTTTTTTTTTCATTTCAGTCGGTCCCGGAGGAAGATGCAAACAGTGTCAAATATTTCCATCACGGGAATGCTCATCATGTACCTGCTTGCTGCCCTCTTTGGTTACCTAACCTTCTATGGTAGGTCACTCTGTCAAAGTCATTCTCTTTGTGCAAATCCTAGTTGGACTGATCATTAACCCGGGTAGGTATAATTCTTTTAATTACCCTCTATAAGCAGCATGATCTATAGTCCATGTAGTCAACTAACATGCTATTTTAGCCTTGTCACTTGACCTGAGAAAATGGGACCTGAACCAGTCTAGCTAACAAGTTACAACAATTTGTGAATTCATACATGTTTAAATGAACAGCCCTCAAATCTACATTATTTTCCTTACGGGATAGATTATATTTCCTTGACTTTGACTTCTTAGGCCATCTCATGCTAGAAGCAATCACAGTGAATCCAATCGTATGTTGCAAAGCTTTCTTGGTGGAATAACTAACTACTAAGCAAATGGTAGGGAAAGTGCAAAGTCCTTGAGTTGGAACCTGCTTCTTGTTTGCCAGTCAAGTGGGATCTGGGGGCTTGGAGCATTAGGTAAATTTTCTGGCTTATCCCATTCTATTCTGTTATAGTGAACAGTTTCCTGAGAAAAGACGACATGACAGAGTTCCACTCAATCTGGGAGTGCACTACCAAAAACAAAAAAAGTTACTATGGACACATTAGATTATGCCTAAAACAATTTCTCTATGGCATCTTAATGGACACAAAAGTAGGATTGTTATTGCACTCCACTGAAGCATAGCCTAATAGACAAATTTCAGGGACTTAAACATTGACCTATTATCACTAATCAGTGTAATCAACATAAATAAACCTTTTGTTTAAACTGATCTTTTTAGTTGTTTTTTTCTTCTGATTCACTAAATTAAATTGATTACTAGACAAATTGTGAAGGAAAAGACTGGGGAGGGAGCACCATTTACTTGGGTTTTTTTTCTATTTGACTAATAGTTGGCTATTAACCAAGCATTCACTTTAGATTGGGCATTAACTGCTTGTTGGTTGTGAATTAATAAAAGTTAGATCAATACCACCGAAGGTATTTTTACCCCGTTTTATCTGATTTGGAGGGGCGTAGGGAGAAAAATCCAACTACATCTGATTCTATAAGCATCTCCACGTCATTTGTGTCTGGAATTCTGAGTGAATAAGCTTTCCAGGAGCATGGCACCTTAATCTTAGATCAGTATTCATTGGGAGACCCTGTTAAGATCATGCTAATTCATCCTTGAATGTTACTTATACTGATTCTAATGAGTTTCATAAGATAAGCTTGAAAAATCCCCGGAAGTATCTGTATTGGTATCATGATAGAGTCATAATTATTGAACTTGAAAAAATATTAAAAATCATTTTGTCATAAGGTTTCCATACTAGATTCAGAGAAGCTGCATCAAGGCTCACTTAGCAGGTGGGAATAGAGGGGGGAGTGGGCAGGATGTAAGGGACAGGCTGGTGGGGACTTGGACCTTTCATCCCCTTCAACCAGAGCACCTCAGCTTCCCGTCTCTTGTGAGGCTTCTGTACAAACTGAGATAGACTTATCACGAAGCAAATGAGCCAGAAAGGCATCTTCACAATTTTATTCTAGCTTCTTGAACTTCATAAGCTTCACTGGCCCCCTTGTCCATTTGAAGAAAGATCAACACAACTAATAAATAAGCTCAAAGATAGGATAAAAACAGGTGTCTAGATTCCCAGACCTGGGTGTTTTTTTCCGTTGTACTGTGTTCCCTTTGTAAAATGTTGCTTTTGGTAATCAATACTGACTTGGAAACACCAAACTGGACCCATTCTCTTCTTCTTTGTAGGAGAAGTTGAAGACGAATTACTTCATGCTTATAGCAAAGTATATACATTTGACACCCCTCTCCTCATGGTACGCCTGGCAGTCCTTGTGGCAGTGACACTAACTGTGCCCATTGTCCTGTTCCCAGTAAGTACCTGAAGCTTTGATGGAAGAATCCTGCTTAATCTCCTAGCTTAGATATGTTCCAATTTGACATGGATTTAATTATGTGAGTTTGCATTTGTAATGCCTGAAGACGTTATTTTCACACAGCATTTTGGAGCCATTTAAGATGGACAATTTAATACGTAGATTCAACAAATATTTTTTGATGTTAAACACCTTTTAAAAAGTCTTTATTTTGGGAGAGAGAGAGAGAGAGCGAGAGCGAGAGCGAGAGCGAGAGCGAGAGAGAGAGAGAATCCCAAGCAGATTCCATGCGACCAGCACAGAGCCCAATGCGGGGCTCGATCTCATGAACCATGACATTGTGACCTGAGCCAATATCAAAGGTCAGATGCTTAACTGACTGAGGCACCCAGGCACCTCAAATGTTAAACACTTTGAAAATATAGGAGGAAAACTATAATCACAAAATTTCTATTTATTTTCCAACTTTATTGAGGTCAAAGTTTTTTGTTAAACTTCAATTCAAAAAGCAGATCTTGGGTTTCTATCTTGTGGATTAGTAGAAATGAGTAGGAGTTCATAGAACTTCTGGAACTTAAAAGGCAAAAACTACATTACTTTTCAATTTGTTGCATTTTCACCAGTTCTGAAGGTATTTAAATTTCCCCTACAGTTTTGTTGCAGTCACATTCAAATGTTACCTTATTTAATCTGATTCCTTGAAGACCAATGAGAAGGGGAATTTTATTAAGTAAATTACTTACTAGAACTAAATCTCTTGAAAAATAGCTATATTTTCCACTGTATATCTTTTCTACTATCCGTAACACTGAAACATGCCCTCGACTAGACTCATACTGGGATCACCCCTTCTTGGCATTTGCCTTTGGCATCACTTGTCCTGGGATCACAGAGCAGGGCTGGTTGAAGAGATTTGGGCTGCGTGAGTTAAAAACACCACCTATGGACAAACACAGGTCTGCATTCTCCTGCCAACTCTTCTCCTTTCATAAATACTCAATTTACTCATTCATTAAGGGGAGCAAATAAGCGACCTAGTAACCAGCACCATCCTGTACAGAATGTTCCATACAGGGCCCAGCATATAAGGACTACTCATATAATGACACTGTGGTCACTTTAAATGCAGCTTGTGTGCTGAAATATTTTTTAACACATTCCTTTTTCATGAGTGCATGAAATCAGATCCTTATTACTAGGAGGGCTAATATTTTACTCCTAAATAATATCTTGCCTCACATATGTCTGAAAGTATTTCAAATGACATGCATACAGCTTTAGCCTAAAATCAGCTCCATCATGGGTACGAGGCAGAAGACAGCTATTGACAGAAAGTGTACCATAAGGTAAAATTTCTAAGCAAACAGTGTCTCTGAGGAACCAAAGTTGAAAGCCCTTTTTGTGTGTAAAGAGCTAATTTTTGGCACACAGTAGGTATTCACATCATTATCGAGTCAAAGCATTTTATAGAAGAAATTTGTTATGTGGCTCTGTATTGCTTTATTCATAAGCCCTAAATATAGCACCTTGAGGTCATGGTCTCGGGAGATTAATGGACTTGCCTGTGGTCATGCAGTTAGTCACAGTTGATTAATGCACCGCTCACAGAAGGACACTGATGGCTGAGGTCAAGATAAAGGAAGTGGAAGTCACACTGATGGTCATTTTACCTCAACATTTAAAATCCAGATCTCCCCATAGAAGTTCTTTCTCTTGTGACAGGGCACGGATATAAATTTGACCATCAGGAACAGTAGTGGTTTGGAAATGTCTCCCATTAGAGGCCCCTTAGAATCAAAATGGATCATGGGAACCAAAATTTCAAAAAATAACTTATCCTGAAGTATTTGTACCCAACGTTAGCATTTACGAAACATGTTGCACATAATTCTGTCTTTGACCCTACAACATTATTACATGGAGATAATCTGCGTAGGTGTCCACCTTCTCCCCTGGTTTAAAAGTCTTAAAGGTTAGGAATGGGCACAGTGACTGGTGCAGGAGAAGTTTGATAACAATCGCCCAGAAAAATAGTCTCCAAATGAATCTTGCCTTTTGAGATGTGTAAACTGCTTTTTCTAGCAATAGCATAAGCTGTTCGCCCTGCCAACATTTGCCACGAACTTTAGTTCAGGTCAGGAGCTGGGCTAAATGAATTAAGTGTCCATGGGTACAATGCAGAACATAAAAGTAAACATGGAGGACAAAAAAGTCTCCTCGTCCCAGTCAAACCCACAAGACTACCTTCAGACACTTTCTCCCTAAAGTGAGAGAAGTTATTAGTGATGTGTTTGTTTCTTATGATTTAGAGCCATGATTTCCAACATGTCAAACGCTGAGCCATGCACAGCAGGGTTCTCCCGGTAGTTTTTTTGAATTAAGAAACTCTTGACCAATAAAGAAGTTTATTTACTTGGCTTTGATATCCCCATATACAAGTAATCAAAAACAAACAAAACCTAATCTGGATTAAAATCTCTCGATTTTAGGCATAATTGTATATTCCACTTCTTTCAACAGAGGATAATAGGCTCTTTTTCTTAGGAGCCCAAGAAGACACAATAAGGAAGGGCGTTGCTGTTATTGGTTGACTAGATGGATTTTCCTTTGATTACTCTATTTATTATCTTATTTTCTGCAGTTAGGCTAGTTTTTTCCATAATAAAAGACATATTGAGTGCAGAAATGATTATTGAACAGATGAATAAATGAAGTGAATTACTTTTTTTACTGGTAGCTCAACATTTGTTTCTATTGTTGGGGGTGGGGGTTTTATGGGAGGGTGGTCTATTATGGGACTACACCTCCTTCCCAAAGACTATTAATTCCATTTTCAGCTTGTACTCCCCTTTATGCAGTAAAGTTCACCCATTAACATGAAAAACAGAAAACCAGATCATCCTAAGGAGTTTATCAAGAACACACAGACTCACATTCCATTTGCCATACCTTAAAAAAAAAAAAAAAAAAAATCACATCTCAGATTTTCTAGCTACTTCTTTTATTCTGTGATGGTGAAATCATTTTTCCCCACATATGTTGCCAGCAGATCTGTTTTGAATCATATGCAGATATAGGCATAGAAATATGGCAAATGTTGCTGTGAACTGGAATAGAGTAGTGGTCCACAGATATTTCCAACACTCCTACCCTAAGCAGTCTTACAAAATGAAACTGATTCGCTTCTAAACAATAAGATTGATTTTTTTTAAGAGTTCAGCCCTAAGGTTCCCACTTTTTACTCTGCCTCCCAGTGGGTCCCCGGATTAGAACATAGCACCTCCTATTCTGAATACTCTCTCTGGAAATAACAGATGTTTTCTCTAGAGCTGCAAAGGACCTTTCTGGAATCCTTCTGGGTCAGAGGGCATGGCTGTTGCTAAGGACTTCCCCACCCACAGCATCTGACCCACATTTCCAGGTTCTTATCAGTTTGTGTCAGTGGAGAAAAGGCACTTAGATAAGTGGAACAGCAGGCAGTGCTTTGTGGGTAACACGCCAGAGTTGCCTCAGTCCTGACATAGGTAAATAGAACTGTTCAGAACCTATTGATCCAGGCTCACCTCTCAAGGCAGCATTTTAACATAGAATGACCGGCAAGTTTTCTTCTATTCTTTTCCACCACCACCAGCCCCCTACTATCTCCCTGCTTGCCCTATGATCCTTTCTAGGAATGCTTTGGCAATTCTACATGCTTTCAGTTCTGTTTGGGATTTTGTTTTTCTTTATTTGCTGTGAGGAGCAAGCTTTCACCATTTATTCCAATGATGATTCCTGTAAACCTTCTGTACTCTTACATCACCAAGCCAAACCTTAGTCTTTCTGGGAGCCATGAGACCTTAGGAAACCACATTCACATTCAGGGGAACTGCACTTAGAGGTTTACCTCTAACTCAGCTTATGGAATAGAGTATTCCTTTAACAAAAGACCAAAAACAAAAACAAAAAAAAACAAAAAACAAAAAAACTCACATATATAAGTCCTCTGCCTGGAAATAACCTGTATTCTACTTGTTTATTCTGTAAATTTCGCACTTTCAGACAAGTAAATCTTAAGCCATAAGGATGTACCATGGAAAGCTTATGTTGAAGCCTAATAAGACTGGTTTGGACAATATCCAATAAGCATGGAGTGTGGATCATAATGTAGAATTAATGGACAGCTGGGGAAAATGTAATCAAGGCATTTGCTTTCTTCAGCCTACTTTTCAGAGCGAATTTCATAATTTTCACTAATCCAATTTTTAAAATCCTTTACAAAGTCACTCTTAAACCATTTCCAGAGACTATCTGGTTTGCCATTCTGGAAATGAAATTGCTTTTGAAACCTAAACAGATGGCTTTAATTTTGGTGGACCAGTATGAAAGGAATGTCACATTAGACACTACAAGCAATTCGGCTCAAAGTTTTCGCCGTTCATACATGTGTTTCAAAAATGTATTTTACATTTTTGCTTTTACATGAGTTCCCATCTCTCCACCAGTAAGAGACTTCAGAAGTAAAATTTTAAGTGGAAAATCAATGCCAGCATTTCTAAAAATGTGAAGTCCGAGCTTAACTGGAGTGTTCCCTTATTGAAAAGCCAATAGAATAATGCCACTGAGTCAAAAGTGTCCTCTAAAAGATTCTAAAGATGAGAGTATTTTCTACTTTGTTAAGCTGTTCAAACATGCAGGGCATTCCCTCCACCCACAAGGATCTTTTTATTATCCAGTTATAGCACAGTAACTTGAAAGACTGCTACAAATGGAACCTCTCTTGACCCTTCACCTACTTATTGTAGCTGCTGAAATAGGGCTGAAGTCTGTCAAGGCTCCCGAAGGGTGGGAAGGGATTCATGCTGTTCAACTTAATTCAACATGTATTGAGTGCCTGCTGTGTGCAAGACACCAAACGAGAAACTCTGAGGAATGCTAAAATTACCAGGTCCTATTCTTTGCGTTTTGTGTGCATTTATAATCTGTAATTGGGAACGGAGGGCAAAAGGGCAAAAAGAAATACAAAGAGTATCATTTTAAAAAACATTATGTGGCAAAATAAGCATTATATACTAAATACGATGCCAAGTTTTTAAAAAAAACCCAGATTTGGAAAAATCACAAAGAGTGCAAATCAATTCAGTGCTTGCCCTTAATACTTAATCCTGTTTGACAACACACGTTTAGAAATCAATAAGGGTTGGGGCGCCTGGGTGGCGCAGTCGGTTAAGCGTCCGACTTCAGCCAGGTCACGATCTCGCGGTCCGTGAGTTCGAGCCCCGCGTCGGGCTCTGGGCTGATGGCTCAGAGCCTGGAGCCTGTTTCCGATTCTGTGTCTCCCTCTCTCTCTGCCCCTCGCCCGTTCATGCTCTGTCTCTCTCTGTCCCAAAAATAAATAAACGTTGAAAAAAAAAAAAAAAAAAGAAATCAATAAGGGTTTTACTGTGTCCCTGAAGTCTTACCTGTTATTTTCTTTGAAATAACTTTTAAGAAAAAATTCTGAAAGCTGAGAAAGTGAGCACAAGGAAAATAACTATCTCAAAGAAATATCAGCATCAAGGCTGCACAACAATATCAACATACTTTTTTTTCTTTAATGGTTAGTTTTGAGAGCATGCAAGCAGAGGAGGGGCAGAAAGAGAGGGAGACAGAGGATCCAAAATGGGCTCTGCACTGACAGCAGAGAGCCTGATGCAGAGCTCAAACTCACAAGCTATGATGAGATCATGACCTGAGCTGAAGTCAGGGCTCAGGTGCCCCAATATCAACATACTTAATAACTGAACTGTACACTTAAAAATAGTTAAGATAGTTAACATTATGAATATTTTACCACATTAATGAAATTTTGAAAAACAAATCAGCATCAAGATCTTTTCTGGGAGAAAAAGGAAAAACACAAAGTGCTTTAGAGTGACAAGAATATTTGAAATAGTAGACGAAAATCAAAAACAAATTAGTAACCTTGCCTTTGAACTTTCTTGTTGCAGATTCGTACATCAGTGACCACACTCTTATTTCCCAAAAGACCCTTCAGTTGGATAAGACATTTCTTGATTGCAGCCATACTTCTTGCACTTAATAATGTTCTGGTCATCCTTGTACCCACTATAAAATATATCTTTGGATTCATAGGTAAGTTTGAGAAAGGCTTTTATTTAATCAGCTCAAGTGGATACCTCCTTAAGTGGCAGACGGGGAGCTGGTGGAGGGGAAGTCAAGGATCCCTGCTCCATCTTTGACTCATGGGATTCTTGTGAGCCCAGCCGGGCCACCTGGTCACCTCCCCTCCCTCCCAGGTGACTCTGGAAGTTAATCACAGGATCAGAAAATGCCAACAGTAAAAGCTACCTTATAGGTCATCTAGTCCAGCTGCCTTTTCTGACAGAAATGGAGCCCCACAGAAGTCAAGTCATATACAGTTCCCCACTTCCCCTCCATCCAAAAGTAGAACATTATATGAAATCTTTTGTAAGCCTTGATGGCATAAAGCTACGAAGAAACTATGATTCATTCATATGGAAGCATTTTTGAGCATCCCAGACACAAAAGATAACCGCTCTTGGACTCTTCTGATAACTTATGACACAATATTGCTAACAAATGCAGAAAATAAATCGACCTAAAACACAGATATTCACAACGGTTCAAAAGCCATGGCAACTTAATGCCGAGATGGAGTGTAGTCCCCAGGGAAGAGACCTGGAGACACCTCTCTCGCTGCTCAGGGGGCGCTGCCTCCATAATGTTCACTGCAAAACAAATTCTGGGCGCAACTTTCACCTTTTAATTTTTTTCCCCATAAAGACAGAAATCTTCTTTGGATTTCTTTGAGTTAGGGAAGGTAGGTGCTAACATAGGTCCTTCCTAAAAGTGAAGTGGCATAACATGAACTTTTGCAAAGTGGGGAATACCTGTATCTTGGACTATTGCAGGATTTGAATTTAGGTCTTAACTCTGCATCAAAAAGTAAGGAAGACACAGTCTACCTATAGGATGCTTTCTCGAGTCTGTCAGTATCAGCTGAGCATTGATGGCCATCTTTGGAGGTGGAGAAGGTTGGTCTTGTAAAGCAGATTTCCTTAACTGTGTGGCCCATTAATATAGTTTTCATCTGCTGATTTGAGGGATTACTCAAATTTTAAATACAATATAACATTTTTTGGATTAGGTGTCAGCAACTTGAAAAGTTGGAAGTGGATAAGAAGGATGCATGATGAGTTCAGCTTCCTTAGTATGTGTTTCTATTGTCAGTTTCCTATATAAATTTTTAAGTCAGCCTTTTTTTGTTTACTATATGTTAAGTGTACTTAGGTTACAACTATGATGTTAGGTATATTTTAATTTTCTTGATAAACATTTGAATAAGCAACCAAGACAAGTTTATAGTACTTTCAGTGCTAAGATTAGGGTAGCATTAAGACTTTTAAAGTGCATGACCTTGAGTCTCTGCCTTGCTGAGTAAGACATTGACCTGTCCTGTGTTTATCCCCTCAGGGGCTTCTTCTGCCACTATGCTGATCTTCATACTTCCAGCAGTGTTTTACCTTAAACTTGTCAAGAAAGAACCTCTTAGGTCACCACAAAAGGTTGGGGTAAGTAAGGCTTGCAATCTCCCCTGTTATAAGTTGCTCTTTAACTGAGAGTAAACCGAAAATATACAATTCAAAAAGATTGACCAAGAACTGAAAATCAGAGATGGGCTGGAACTTTAGTGGAGAGAAAGGAGGGTAGATCTCTGGTACTGAGATGATTCCAGGATTTCTTCCCGTCATAAATCAAGAATCTTGTGTTAAGTCCTTTCTACCCATCAAACACTAAGAGTTTTCCCACAGGCATATATGGATACCAGTTTCCACCACCAAGATTGTAGCACTATCCACAGGAAATTATGTGGGAAGGAATGAGGCTCCCTGACAGTGTTATGAAATAACTGAAACATTTTAGTCATATTTTTTAGGTTAGGAAGGCCAAAAGAAAAGATGCTGCCTGGTTTCCCCCCTCCATAGTACCTTGGAGTGGACTCAGATCCAGAACAAAACCATCGTTTTCCAGTTAACCTCTTTAGATATAAAATTTAATTTTATTAAGCGAGAGCATATTTCTTTTCCAAAATGATGTTATAGAAACACATGCCAGGGGCGCCTGGGTGGCGCAGTCGGTTAAGCGTCCGACTTCAGCCAGGTCACCATCTCGCGGTCCGGGAGTTCAAGCCCCGCGTCAGGCTCTGGGCTGATGGCTCGGAGCCTGGAGCCTGTTTCCGATTCTGTGTCTCCCTCTCTCTCTGCCCCTCCCCCGTTCATGCTCTGTCTCTCTCTGTCCCAAAAATAAATAAACGTTGAAAGTGCTGCTGTAAACATTGGCATGATATTAAAAAAAAAAAAAAAGA